AAATTTGTTTTTTTTTTTTTTAATCCATATTATTCAAAGAGAAAATGAGAGAGATGATGATTCTGAAGCCACCCTATCCCAGCCATATTATTCACATATCGAGTCCCAACAGCAACAGTGTAGGGATGAACACGAAATACTGTAAATTAAATGCTGAATGACGGTTCATGCAGGGAAAGAACATATCAATATTCGCATATTCATTCAAAAACATGAAAATTCTTAATGGAGTACCCTCATTTTTTATTGAATTCCTAAAAAACAATATTTATAATGAATTTTAATAATTTTTTTGAATTTTTTTTAAGCTTTATTCTGACCGATTTACCTGATTTTCGATCCGAATCGCCGATTCACCGATCCGGATCGATTTTTTAAAAACCCAATCCGGATCACCGATCCATTTTTTAAACCATTGACTAATACAATTGGCTAAACTGCCGATTCAAACCATTGATTCCGCAAAATATAGGGGTGGCAAAGAGTCAAGTCACGTCCAGCAGGGCGCAGACCCAGACTCGGACCTAACTAGACCCGACTCAAATATTCAAATATTTGTATATTTTCAGATCTATATCGAGACCCGGATCGAATCCACCCCTCAAGCCCAGCTGAGGTCGGATCCGCAGTCCCCACCTCCCAGGTTCTCCCTCATTGACTGCTATCCATATAATTCCCGCCAATCTGTCTCTGTCCACTATTTTTGTCTTCGTCCTGCTGTCCCGTCCCTTCTCAGTCAACTCCTGCGAACCTCCTCCCTCTCTCCTTACGAATAAATCCCTCCACCTCTCTGTTCTCAGCTTCACTCTCTCCCAATTGCAGTGCGTGTCTTGGTTTGTCCAACCAATTTGTAGGTGTAAGTGTAACCCAGACTCGATGAATACGATGGAGATGGATATCCCGGAGTGTCCTGTGTGTCTCCAAGTCTACGATCCCCACCAGGTGATCCCCAGGGTCCTCGCCTGCGGACACTCCCTCTGCCAACTCTGCATCGTCAACCTCCCTTCCCACGATAACTTCGCTGGCACCATCCGGTGCCCTCAGTGCAACCACCTGGTCCCCTTTCCGCCTCAAGGCCCCTCTGCCCTCCCCAAAAACATTGACCTCCTCCGACTCGTCCGGACCTCGGCAAATCCGAAAACCTCTCCTGGCAATGGTTCCGACCCTCATCTCAAAACCCTAGCCAATTCTGATTTCGACGATAATTGCAGCAATGTCAGATTTGCGCGTTCCTTTGATGCAAGCTTCTACGAGACATGGAGAGAGTATGTGATCCCGAGCGAAGCCATTGAGGCCTCCTCCTCCTCCACAACAAAGGGGAGCGATGAATTCGTGGATATGCAATTCGAAGGAAGAGTGATGTTTTCATGGAGGAATTGGTTGAAAAAGGATCAGGAGGTGAGCCTTTTGCCTGTTGCGCGGGATTCCTCTCTGTCTGGTTCTCAACGGTTGCGTTTGAGCTACATGACACGAGTAATGGAAATGCTTAATAGGTTGAGAAAGGAGCAGAGGGAAGAGCTTGAGCTTCTCTTGAAAGCCTCTATGCTTAGACGCAGACTTTCCAGGACTTATGGGTTATGGATGGATTCAGATGGGGTTCTTATGCTGGTCTTTGAGAGGATAGCGCACCATGGTTCTGCTTTAGATTTTGATTTCTTGGTGGACTCTGATGAGTTGCAGGGTGGGTTTTCAGAGCATGGTCTGGAGATGATATTGAGAATAGGCTTAGAGCTCTGTGAAGCTTTCATGGAGTTGCATGCGGAGGGCATAGCCATTGGATATTTAGGTCCTTCGTGTTTTGGTATTGATGAATTGGGTCTCGTGGTTCTGGACTTGAAGAATGTTTTGTTGATTGGGAGGGGAATAAGGATGTTCCTTGATCAAGACTGTACCTTTTCTGATCTAGTCAGGGCACAAAAATTCTTGAGCCCAGAGCTGTTTAATGCACTTTCCAATGATTTGTTGCCATCGAGAGGGGGGTTTTCTTTTTCGTTCAAATCAGATAGTTGGACATTGGCATGTGTTTTTCTGCACCTTATTTTCAATCAGAAATCAAGAATTGAGGAGTTCTTCTGCACAATTTGCTCAAGAAGCGATGAAACAGTTGTTTTGAAGGAGAAATTAGCTTATATAATGGAGCTGTTAAACTCAAACAAGCAATTCGAACCGTTGGGGTATCTCCTCTCCAAATGTTTAGATTATGACACAGAGAGTCGCCCTGATGTGATTGATATTTGGAGATGTATGAGAACTGATCTCATTGAATCTCCTTGGAATTCTACTGTGTCTGGTTTGGTTACTCAAGAAGAAGCTGTATGTTGCTTAGTTGCTGGGGAGTTGCTCGTTTTGTCCAATACTGTTGAACGCACTATGCAAAAAATGCAAAAAAAAAGTGACTCTCATTTGAGTTCAGTGGAAACTAGTGGGAATGGTAATACTGATGGAAATGACGAGGGGGGTTCAAATATGGTGCCTGACATGGAAAGCTTGACCTTGGATGGCCACCATGATTGCATCACAGGTTTAGCAATCTGTGGTATGTTTTTACACTTCATGCTCGATAATGGTATAGTAGTCTCTGAATTATCTTCTTCGATTGAATTGATTGGTTCAACCATTTATCTTGCAGAAATTTTAGTTAAAACATTGCCAAAAGAGATTAAAGATATCGATTTTCAATTTTCTTTCTTTGCTGTTCTAGGTCCAACTACACTGAAATCAGGGAACAATTTATTTTGGTGTTGTTCACTGAGCCTGATATGCATTTTGCTTTTCTTTTCTTTTGCCTGGTAATAAAGATATTTGTTAAATATGAGAAAATGTAAAAGGTATAACAAGGTATGATAAACATTGTTAGAAAAACCAGGTGATCTAACTGGTGACTGCCCAGTTAGATCGGAACCGGCCCCTTGCAGGTTCCGGTTTCGGGCGGTTTTGGTGATCGGCTGGTATTAAAAAAAAAAAAGTATAAAATCCTAAAGATAAGGAATTTGGTTTTGTAATACAGTTTTTAATATTCTGTACATTACGGTAAAGATAAAAAATTGTTTTGGTCATTAATACTCACTTTTATATTTTCTCATCTTTTTCGAATTTTTTTAAAAATACCCCCTAGGCACTAATCGATTATTTAAAATCCATTTTTTTCATTAACTTTCAACTTCATTTGAATGTATTTTGTTTTAATCATTCTTTATATACTTTTCATAATTTAATAGATTTTTTTGTATCTTTCTTATTTTTTTCAACAATTTTTTGACCGCCCGGGACTTGCTGGATTAGAACGGTTGAATTGGCCGGTTTACTGGTTAGGCCGGTTTACTGGTTAGGCCGGTTAAACCGCTTCTGACCCCATGTCCGGTTAACCGTTATGGTTCGATTTTGCGAACACTGATGACAAATAATCATCAATCTTGAGTCCTGGACATGTCTAGATGGCATCTCAAAACCCTAGGTTCAATCTCCACATCAAGAGCAAGATTCTCTCTAAATGACCGCTTGATTCAAAATGGTGTCTACTTCTTCATTGGCCTTGGATGAAATGCACAAAGGATATCCCTTTAGAATTAGAGAAGTCAAACCTCTTCCCGAGAAACACAGCCACATCCCATGTTGTGCTTGCTTTTCTTTCTCAAGCTGCATTCCAAATTCCTGAGTTTAGTTTTAGTTCTTTTCCTGGGCACAAACTTAAAGCAATGGTTTTCAAGTCAATCTGTGCCATGTATTTGCAAGTCCTGAGCAATTTAATGGAAGTGCTTTCTGAGCTTAGTTGTCCAAATAGCTTAAGAAACGATATTTGGTCAATACTTTTATTTTCGTCCTTTTCTTTGTTCTCAAATTACGAGCACAATTCTATTGTTTTTTCTAATATTTTGACAATTCATATGACTCCATAATTTAAGCTCCTTTAGTTACTTCACCACCATTTTGAAGCAATTGAAATAAAGGAGTTTCATCATAATCATCATAAAACATCAGCAATCTTTGACACTGGCATTGAATGATAAGAATATTTGTATCTTTGCAGGTGATTATCTTCTGAGCTCCTCGTTTGATAAAACTATTGGTGTGTGGTCCTTGAAGGTATGGACTCATCTTTGTTTTGTCCAAATGTGATAAAGGCATGCTATTTTAGGTTTTGATAGGATAAAGCTCAACTTTCCGATGACGTCATCATGATCATCACCATCATCATCATTATCCGAGCTTTATCCCAACTTTTCGACATAGTTTTATAATTTTAGTTGTATTAAAGGATATAAAAAGTGGGTTTCACATTTTAAATGGCATTAGTAATTTAGCATTATTTGGCTTGCTAAAAGCATATCCTTAGGCTGGCAGAGTCCTTTTTAATTTTTGAGTTTACATTGCACAAATCCTTGAAGATATACTAAAGTGAGAATCATACGCATTTCCTTTTACAATCGTGTTTGTTCATAAGGTTTGGAATCCAAGATCACTGAATTGTTGTGCTGCTCGGGGATATGGATCATACTTAGCGGTTGTTTGGCAATTGGAAGCTAGAATCAGTCTGAAATCCAGAAGTTGGAAGTTTGAGTGCATGGTAATAGAATATATTAGGTTTGATTAAGCTGTCTGGAACTCTGGGATTTTGGAAAACTAATTTTGGTTTAAATTGGGGCTTTGTAAACTTGGAGATCTAGAAATTAGCCAGTTCTAACCGTTAATTGAAGTTTCATTGATGAGAGGGTGATATTTGTTAGATGAATGTGATTTCAAAAATCGTAGCTCATCCACGGTAGGACTAAGAAAAAGGACGGTCTAGATCACATAAGAAAAGTATACTTCACCAATAAAATGCGAGCATGTATGACTGAGCTAAAATTTTTTTTTGATTGAGCTAAAATTTCAAATTTTTTTTTTTCATTTGATTGAGCTAAAATTTTGGGCATTCATACTTCTCACCCTCAGGCACCTATAAACAATATAAAACAATACTTTGAAAAAATTAAAATGACTGAAATGACCCAGAAACTTAATGAGTATTTTGGTCATTTTATTTCATTTTTTTATATTTATTTTTTTCAAATGCTCCCCCCTAATGAGGCACACACCATTCATATTTCATTTCGATCTGACCTAAAGAAAGTAAAAATGGATGAAGATGGGCCGATATGACCAAATAGTCCTATCGAAATTCTCCAATCTCAATTGTATGGTCTAGAGCATGTATGAGTATTTCAATTTTATTTTATTTTTGTATACATTGGATTGAGCTAAAATTTTGGATGTCCATGCTTCTCCCCATCACAGACCTATAAAAAGTATAATGTAGATATTTCAAAAATCAAAAGAAATAAAACGACTGAAATACTCTAGAAATTTTGAGGCCTATTTTGGTCATTTTATGTTATTTGAGTTGATACATACATGTCCTGATAAGGTGCGCATGCTCTCCAAATTTCATCTAGATCTAATGTTAAAAAAAATGAAAATAGATGAAGATAGGGATAACATTTTCAAAGTGAAAACTCATCATCATCATCCGAGCGTTATCTCAACTATTTGGGGTTGGCTACATGAATCCTGCTCGGCCATTCCATTCTATCAAATGTCATACTCTTTGTTAGACCATAAGTCACCATATCTCTCCTCACTACTTCCATCCAGGTCCCTTTGGACCTTCCCCTTGCCTTTTTTTAGAACCTTTCACTTGAATTAAATCACTCTTCCTAACCGGTGTTCTAGGTCAATGCTGGGCATGGCCAAACCACCCAAGTCTACTTCCCTTATCTTATTGCCTATTGGAGTTACCCATAAATTCACTCGGATGTATCCATTCCAAACTTTATCCTTTTTTGTCTTGCCACTCATCCATCGCAATATCTTCATCTTAGCTACACTTATTCATTTTCAAAGTGGCAAACAAGTCCAAAAGATGGAGTTTGCCTTTCTCATTTTTTGGAAAATCTCCATATTTTTTTTTTGGTGGGTGGGGGGGTGGAAAGGAACTCTGTGATTCTCATTAGGATGAGAATTATGGCGGCTTCGGTGAAGGTAGGAGTGATAGAGACTTAGCATGATTGTGTTCATCTCTATGTTCCATTCGCTGGGGAAGAAATAATGGCACCCTACTAAATCCCTCAGATGGTACTGGTTAAGATTGCAGGCTGAAATGGGGAGCTTGGAGGTATAATGATTATTATTGGGGCCGCATTATTAAATTACTACAAATTGTAGATAGGTTTGTCATGATGTTCCACGAAGCTAGTCTGATGCGCATCATCTATCGTTGATAGACGCACTTTTGACTATCCGGTCATCCGCCTCTTTGCTTTGATCAATTTGAACGCTTGACGTCGGTCGGGCCGTATTATTAAGCAAGCGTTATACTAGACTGTAAAGAAGTGAATGTTATGCTATGCCGTCACCATTGTGGTGAATATGACGAAAATGTGTGAAATCATTAGTATATTCTATTGTGGCTATGTGACTTGCTGAATTGGCATAGTTATCTTGTACTTTGTTACTCTTGACGACATCCAATGTACATTTTGAAGTTATAATCATAAATTCATAGGTATACATATTTAGTAAAGAGTACGAAATACGAATAATTGAAAGCTTATTTTCTTAGTGTATGTTGATAAGTGTGCTAATATCATTTCCTACAGGACTTCTCGCATGTACAATTTTTAAAAGGTCATGGGCATAGAATAGTAGCACTACTTGTTGTGCATGCAAAGGAAACCTTGTGCGTAAGTGGTGATAGTGGAAACAATATTTTTGTATGGACCATCAGTCCTGTGCTTGTCCATGAGCCTATAAAGAAATGGTCCGAACATAATGATTGGCGTTACAGTGGTGTCCATGCTCTGGCTGCTTCTGGGGCCAACTACCTTTACAGTGGAAGTGGGGATAAATCAATAAAAGTTTGGTCTCTAGAGGTAATGTATATTCAGTCTAATGATATAAGTTTCATTGTTATCTTGCAATTCAATTTTTGTGTAACGAAGTATGTACTTAAATTGATTTTTTTTTTTTTTTTTTTGCCTTTTAACTAACATCTTGTTATGATCCATGAACGTAACTGTTCATTCTGCATGCCATGGATGCTACATATTTTCTACATCATTTTGTAAGACTACATTTTGTAGAAAACTTAAGTGATGCGTATTTTATTTATATTGTCTATTAGGGAACTTTATATATATATATATGGAGTGATGAAAGTTTTTTCCTTTGTAGTCATTCAGGATTGATTTTTCAAAGAATGCACAAACAAGTAAAATGTGGAATCACTCATTGGGAACACTAGTTATCTTGAAGCTTACACTAATGGTTTTTATATCAATATTTTATTTTTTACAGTTTACTTTTAACATTGAATTAGTCTCATAAAGCCATCTAATCCAAATACTTCTAATTCGGTGAAGACTTTGGGGCTCATCACTATATCTTGTGTTCTTCTTATATCTTCAGGAGACATCCTTACATTGGTCACATCATTGTGTGACTGCATGTCTAATATTGATCTACTACTTTGAATTTCACTTCTTGTGTTTCTCCTTAATTGATGTGCAGATTGTGCTCCAATAGCTGATGAGTATTGTTGACTGTTTTGATATCCCCTTTAGCTTAAGGAGCGTCATATGTTGCATTTTAAAAAATGATTCATTAATGCAAATCAACTTGGTTTTTAAACCAAGTTATTATATCAACTTGAATTTTTCATAATCACACTACTTCATTTTTCAGGATTACACTCTCATATGTACAATGACTGGACATAAGTCTGCAGTTTCTTCCATGGCAGTAAAAGATGGGATCCTTTATAGTGGAAGCTGGGATGGAACTGTTCGTTTATGGTGGATTAATAGCCATACTCCTCTTGCTGTACTAGGAGATGATGCTTCCAGTAGTGTGAGCTGTGTGTCAGCCCTTTCAGTGGACCACAGTATACTTGTTGCATCTTACGAGAATGGCTCTATAAAGGTAAGTACGTAAGTGCCATTCTGTGTACTTACATAGGACATGAATGAAATTCTCCTGTTTGATGTATCTAATATATTTTGGCTTGTTTTTTTAAATGTGAGTTGCAGTTAAATTATGGCTGCCAGGCATAACTAATATGTTGGAGTGGTACTCTTCATGTTGGTTATTAGCTTTTCAAAATTTTAGGATTTGGGCTTGGACTTGGGCTTGATTATTTAAAGTGTTGACATTGCAACGCTACATCCCAAGTTTGAATCCTACTGCTGAACTACCCAAATGAAAAAGCTTTTCTGAATTTGGGTTGTAATATGGTCCAAGCGTGACCACCATGTTGGACAAGGCTTCCTCATGGTGGCTGTTTTCTTTTCTAAACATTCAAATGTAGTCTTCTTCTATAATCAAATGCTTTTTTGTATAGACATGTCTTTTGTTCATACTGGATTACAGTTATTGCTCCAAAAGTTTATTTATGCATAATTCATATTAGTATTTTAACAAAATCAGATATTATTTGGGGAGATTCCTGAAGTTTGATGCTATCATTAGTTTTTGCAAGCTTCTACACATATTAGTGCTGTCATTGTGGAGATAGAATTCCTCCCAGCCTGCTGCATATGTAGATTTTCGTGGTCTTGCTTCAGTTGTTCTCCATTCATACTCGTTCCCTGTCTCCCATTTAATTTTTTGCTGCATATGCAGATTTTCCTGGCCAAGGGTTTCATCTGGCCACCTAGGCAGCCCTAGAGCGCCTGGGTGGGCGCCAAATCCAACCTGAATAGGGCCTCACCTAGGTCCTATTAGGTTTGGAGAGTCTCCTGGGCCGCCTAGGCTGCCAAATTTTCGTTCACTGTTTCCACATGACTTGAATTACATGAATTTTATTGAGAAGGATCCAGATACTGCCATAACCAGACACCACAAAGCTTGATGAATTATATTTTCCCATATTCGATTTGAATCTGGGTCTGAACATCCGCTGATGACCATTAGTTCATAATTGCTTATGAAAATCAATTAACAATAATGTGTTGGGTGTTAATGTCTTGGCATATATAACTTTCTGACTGTTCCTGCATGCTTAACGTTTATGTGAGATATGAAAATTAATGGTTTTTTATTCCCACTATAATTTTTTTAAATATAATAAAGGTTAAAAGGAATTTTCCTTTCGTTCTTTTTTCAGGTTTAGGGTTTGGAGGAGGTTGGTTTAGTTGTTAATGCTGTGTTTCTAACCAACTGACATTTTAAAGGGCATTTCATGTCGAAAGAACTGTCATTTGTAACTTGGTAGGGCATTGATTTGAACCCCCTCTTGGTGGGCCAATGGGCGGCCACCTTGTGAGGGGCCAATGGTTGCCCACCTCCATGAGAACCAATAGGAGTGTAACTCGACCATTTGCCTCTTGGAGGATCTATTAAAGCCTCAAAATGTAGAGAAAGAATGTTTGGATTCTCATTTTTATTCTCTCTTTACTGGAGTTTCAGGAAGGTGCTTCTCTGCTCATTTTTCTCTCTCTTGAACTGGAGTTCAATTGTTCCTTGTCCTAGTTTGAAGTGAATCAACTAGTTGTTCATGTTTCTAGTGTTCTATTTGGGTGTGCAGACCAAAATAAGATATAAATTTCTTCACTGTGCTAGGTTGTATCCTGATGGTATCCTCGCTGAAAATTGATTGCATCTGGAATTGAAAAACTTGAAGACACCGAGGGCATCTCATTTCTCTAGGTCCATGTTGAGTACAACTCACTTTTGTTTGTATTTTTTAGCATTTGCTGGTTACTTGTTCAATATACAAAGTTCTTTTCAATGTAGCTCTTTTCAAAACTGTATTGTCAATGCAACATGTGTTTCCCTGTTAAGAGTGGAACCTCATGCTATTTGAGCTTTATGCTCAATTCTTTCTGTAAGGCATTGTCCCCATGACTCCAGTTTTGCGATTCAGGGTTCTTTGAGCTTTATGCTTGGACGTTTCTTAATGGCAATTGTCATTGGGTCTCCTATTCCAATAATCAATCCTACATGGACACCGACACAGGTGTCGGTATTTACGATGGGTCTGGGTGCCTAATGTGAGGCCACAAACCCAATACTTTCTCGACATGTACATACAAGTGTCACTGAGTGATATAATCCATTATGTAATATAATTTCTTATATTAATGTGTATACACCAAGTAGTGGAGCGGTATAAGTAAGCATCAGATTTTAGGAACCAAGAGTAGTGAGTTCAAGCCTGCTTGTGAGTTTTTGATAGTGTCTTATTTTGAAAAGATAATGATGTTTGTATTCATAACATAGTATTTCCATTATGTCCACATGAAGCTCCTCTGATGGAGTGGTAGTGTTGGCCATACATATTCAAGAGTTAAAGCTCAAATCCTAGCTTAAGCTACGTTGTTTTTACATTTTAATAACAAGTTTACCAACCCCCATCCCCCACATGGCTCAAAAAGTTCAAATGCATTTCAAAATTTAAAACTACTTTAACTCCGTGTGGCTCAAAAAGTGTTTAAATGCATTTCAAATTTTAAAACTTTTACCCCAATGTGGCTCAAAAATTTAAATTCTTTTCAAACAACTGCCGTCCATGTGGCTTGATTGTTTGAAACTTGAGCCCAAAATAAGCTCCTAGGAATTATACTAAAGATCATCATAAACAAAGAAAGAAGTATAAATGCTAGGTTATCCTTCCAGGTGGACCTTAAAGCTTATATGATTTTAAATTGCAAGTTCTCGTATAAGATACTTCCGAAATAAGTGTCGACACAGTAATAAAAGTAGGTGGTCACTATACCGGACAAGTATCAAGAGAGTGTCGGCACATGTCGACACACGACATCTAAGAAAATAAGAATCTTCGAGTTAACACTGCTACCAATAACAATAAAACTTCATGTTCTTTGAGGTTTTTGCTCAGTTCTTTGCTCAACGGCTTTATCACCATGACATGTGTAATTAAGAGTAGAGCTTTATGCTCTTTGATCTTTATGCTTGGTCATCTTGCTTTAGGGAATTGACCTCATGTTCTGACATCAAGAGTCCACATCTTGTTTCGCGGTTAAGAGATTCCACTATTTGTTCCGTCTTAGGAGCTTGTTCAATGTGCTCTACCATTAAGAGAATGGTCAGCTCTTGTTCTATTGTTAATAACTTGCAAGATCCTGAGAACTCCTGTTCCTTTATTAAGAGTTTAGCACTCTTCCTTGAGCTCTTAATGCTCGATTCAGTGGTTTCTTTACAATGCTTTGAATTTGAAGCAAATTACATTAACTTTGAGGCCAAAAAGGCCCAAGTTTTGGTTGTTCGGGATCCAAGAACCAACAAATGCTATGCTCGTGTGGCAAGTGTTATGTTGATATTTTCTTTGGTGCAGTGTGTTGACACTTTCGCACGTGCTTCCAAAAACTCCTGTGTTGACATCGCCTATTTTTACCACCATGATGACACTTTTTTTAAAAGTGTTTTATATGGTAACTTGCAATTTTAAATCATAAGAACTTTAAGGTTTAACTAGTAGGATAGTCTAACATTTATACTTCTTTTTTTGTCTATGGTTTGATTCTTGGGAGCTTATTTTTTGTCCAAGTTCCAAAGAATCAAGCCACGTGGGGTTAAAGCTGTTTTAAAAGAATTTAAATTCTTTGAGCCATATGGGGGTAAAGTGTGATTGAGCAATGACAAACAAGTGTATCACAAAATCTCTTCTGATTTATGCCAGGGAGGTCAATCATTGGGGCTGTTTTCCTTAGGCAATTGATTGAGAAGTTCAAGGAGAACATAAAAGACCTCCATATAGTCTTTTATTAATTTAGAGAAAGCATAGGATAGGATACCTTTTTGTGGATGCTGGAAAAAAAAGGATACCTTTGATATGTACAAGGGAGCACTAATTAATGTGACAACTAGTGGAGAGACATGTGAGTTTTCAGTGGCAGTAGGCCTATATTAGGGGTCAGGATTGAGCCCATATCTCTTTGCTTTGGTTATGGACGAGTTAACTAGTCATCTATATGATAAGATCCCATGGTGTATGTTCTTTGTGGATGACATAGTTTTGATTGATGAGACTGGAGATGGCATAAATGCAAAGTTAGAACTTTGGAGGGATGCTTTAGAATCTAAAGGTTTTGATTTTAGTCAGACTAAGACAAAATATATAGAACACAAGTTTAGTAATAATAAGAGCAAAAACAAGGAATTAGTTAAGATTGATAGCTAATAAGTACCAAAAAGAGATTAAATTTGATATCTTGGGTTGATAGTTTATGAAAAATGATAGATTGATGAAGATATTGCTCATAGAATTTGAGTTGGGTGACAGAGTGGAGATGTGCTTCCAGTGTCTTATTTGATCGTCGCATACTAATGAAACTGAAGGGGAAGTTGTATAGGATGAGTGTAAGACCAACTATGCTTTATGCAATGGAATATTAAAAAATAAATAAACAACATATGCATAGGTTGAGTGTGGCTGAGATGTGGATGTTGAGATGGATGAGCAGCAAGACAAGGAAGGAAAGAATTCAAAATGAATACATTCAAAGGAACTTAGGGATAGCTCTAATAGGCAATAATGAGGGAAAGTAGATATGGGTGGTTTAGTCACGTACAACGTTGACCTAGAATAATACTAGTTAAGAGGGATGATTTGGTTCAAGTTGAAGTTTCTAAAAAGACAAGGGGAAGGCCCTAAAGGACATTGGATGAAAGTGGTGAGAAAAAATATAGTGAATATTGCCTGACTGAGGGTGTGAACCTTGATAGAGAAAAATTATGGAACAAGATTCGTGTAGCTAACCCCAAATCGTTGGGATAAGGCTTGAATGATGATGATGATGATGACATGGGCTAAAGTAGTTTTGACTTGGGGGTTTAAAGTAGTTTTAAATGTGAAAAACAACTTAGCTTATGTTAGGATTTTGAACCATAAAATACTTAAATATGAGGGTCATCATTACCACTTTACCGGGCTAGCTTTATGTGAACACAATATGATACTATGTTATATTAACAAATATCATTATCTTCTTCGAAATATAACATTACCAAAAATTCACAATAGAGTTTGCACTCACTACTTCTTGTCTCGTAAAATCTGATGCTTACCTGTACTGCTGCATTACTTGGTGTATGTATATCAATATAGGAAATTGCATTATGTATTGGATTATCTTACTCAGTTACACTTGTACAGATGTGGGGGAAGTATTGGGTTTTGGGCCTCATGTACTAGACACCTAAACACATACTAAATATATATACCTGTGTTGGTGTCCATGTAACACTGTCCATTGGCCCCCTACCAACCCAATGTTTTTCTGGTTTAAAAGGGACAAAAGTGACTGAAATTTTCTTCCTTGGCTTTGTCCCCTTGATGTGGCTGTTAGTTACAAGTCACCAATTGCTCGTTTCAGGCTGGCCTTCTTATGGTGGGCCTCTTTGCATAGGTGGGATGGATATGTTCCATGTAACTTTAAGACAAACCTTGCCCTGCCTTTTAAACAGGAATGATGTGGCAGGTCTGGTGTCCAATGTGTACTTATGTAGGACACTACAACATGATAACATCTGGTATGGATAATCTTTGCAATGTGCATCTCAGCCATGCAATCTATTTTCTAAAAAAACAGGTTGACTTGCTTTCTTTGGTTAAGATTCTGTTCCTTTTGTCATCAAGCTCAAGTTGGATATGTATGAAAGATATTCTTTGTATAATTCTGTGCCCAATTTACTCTTCTCACCCGCAACATTGAACACAAAATGTCTATTCTTCCCAGAAGTAGTACTCCTGTTAAACCATGTTTTTTGCTTAATCAGTTTGACAATAATGTTACTTCCTCTTGTTTGTTGGAGTTCTGTTGCTAAATTCTTACTTTCTTGCACTTTCGCCATGGGTTTACATTTATCTTCAGGCACAATGTGGAAGATCCTGTACTTAATTTAGGGATATATATAAATCAATAGAATGCGCTATGTATATTCAGGTTTTTGTTTGTCTCAGATGTGGAGGAATGGTGTGCTTTTGAATTCGGAGCAAATCAATGGGGGTGCTATTGTTGCCCTTGAAATGAGAAGCAAATGGCTATTCACAGGAGGTTGGGATAAGATAGTGAATATACATGTAAGTATCTAATTTTACCCAGTTCCTCTTTTTGGACGCTTTTGACATAATTTCCTAACATTGCATGATCAATAATCCTTTCAATAGATGCTATGAGTTCTGAGGATTTGTAATCTTTGTGTCTGTTTTTATTTGGGATTTTAATTTTATTTTTCACTGCTCTTAGAAGATTTTTTCTCAAATGCGTTTTGCACTATTCACTATAGGAATTGCAAGAACGTGAGTTTGATGTGGATATCAGACCAGTTGGGGTTGTGGACTGTGATACAGTTGTGACCTCGTTACTGTATGGCAATGGAAAGCTTTTCATTGGGCTGTCTGGAAAGGTCATCAAGGTATGGTCTTAATATAATGATCTTATTTCATTTATGTTTCTTTGGTGCATCTATAACAAGAAAAAGTAGTTTATGGTTAGCATATATATATGTTATATATTGAGGATTACTGTTGTTACACATGTTATCAAAGGGTAGTGTTGGTATTCCCATGTATCAAACCGTATGTTTGGATCTTTGCTCTATTATTATATGTGAATTGCATATTTTTCAAACTATATATCGAATAAAATATGATATTTGCCAAAAGGAATGTTTGGCATTTGTTGTATACCTTATTTCAACTTCAAACAGTTCCCAGGCATTTTTGTTAGGCTTTGTCACAAAACTAACTGGTGTTGCTGATTGGACATGGAAAAAGAAGGTTCTGGTTTTGGAACGGTTCAGTTGTGACTTATGATGAATAGGGTTTGTGGGCTATCATTAGGTATATTTTATTTGAGTTTTGGGCTTTTGTATATGCGTTATGAATTATTTTAGGGCATCATGCATAAAAGGGGAATATTAACTGTTTTTGGGAGAAAAGAAAAGTGAGATTTGCCCTTTCTGGTGCTATAGGATGCTGAGTTCATGCTTTCTAGGATTTTTTTCTTTTTGTTATTAATAATGCTTCCCAAATAGTTGGGATAACACTCGGATGATGATGATGATGATGTTATTACAATGCTTGTAGCTTTCACTCTGTTGTCCCATTTTTGGTGTTATGCATAGAGATTTCTAATGCTCGTGGTGTATCTCCACTTCCAGTAAGCAAATTGAGCTTTCTTGGTTTAGAAGATTCATATTTATTTTATTTGTCTTGGATTGCATTAGTCCATATGTACTTCTGATTTGTTCACCAAGTCCCACACGTCTCCTTGATGTAAATTCTTAAGAGTTTGAGAAGGTTTGTTGGAAAGTTCATTTTGTATTGAGATATTAGAGAGTGAAAATGAATTGGATCCTTTTCTTTGATCTTTTGCTTATTGGTTTTCCCTGAAGTGCAGATTAATCTTCTACTTTTTGGGTAATGCATTTAATCTTTTCTGCTGTATCAATTTGTTTGTATTTCTCTTTTTCACATCTCTGATCATAATGAAGGAAAGCGTCTCTTTCTCTCTGGTGCGTGTGTACAATCTGCAGTTTTGTGGTTGCTGTAGAGAGTTAGTTGGTCACAGATATGAAACCAGGAATGTGTCCGACTCAGGAACAAGATGTAGATGATTTTCCATCATTAGAATATATTGAAGTAGTCTGTGGTCAGTGGATGACTTGAGCATGTGCAACACAGAGATACTAGGGCTCCTTCGCAACATCAATTCTGTTATGCTGGTTGGACCATGGAAAGCAATAGTATGGTATCAGTGATCATAACCTTGTATGTTTCTTGCAGGGATTATGTCCAAGGAGATAAGATACATTGTGCCTTCAGTTATCATTGGAATGTTTCATTGCTTTATTTCTTTCCCATTCATTATAGCAGTGAGCATTTGCATCAGTAAATGAGAATTCTTAGGACTTATCAATCTTGAAATTCTACTACTTAGTATGAACGCCACCTTCATTGCCCTCATTCCTAAAGCGGAGGGGATAGAAGAACTCAAGGATTTCAGACAGCTTTTGTGAAGGACCGCTAAATTTTGGACGGTGCCCTCATCGCCCACGAGTGCATACACTTAGGAACCAAATCCAAGATTCTGGGGTTTCTGATCAAACTGGAATTGGAAAACCTTACAACCACGTTGACTGGGAGGTCTTAGACGAAACACTTCTTTGGATGGGCTTTGATCCTCGTTGGTGTAAATGGATCGAAGGGGGCATCTCTAACCCCTTTTTCTCGGTTCTCCGCAACCGCATGCCCAAGGGCTTCTTTCTGTCTTCTAGGGGTCTTAGACTAGGGGACCCCCAGTCTCTATTCCTTTTTGCCACTGTTGCCGAGGTCTTCAGCAGGTCCCTAGTAAGGTTGTATCGACACAATCTTTTGGACGGCTTCACTTGCTCCAATGGAGGTCTGGTCATCTCCCATCTCCAATATGCCAATGACACCCTCGTTTTTTGTGGGGCCTTCGAGCAACAAGTGGATTCGCTTCTCCTCTTTCTCAAGTGTTTTAAATTGGCCACTGGCTTCAGGGTTAACATGGCCAAATCGAAGATGATTGGTATTGACATATAGCCCTCGGCCACTCAAGTTTTCGCTGATAGATGGGGCTGTGTGGTGGACAATCTCCCCTCCACCTAACTGGACCTCCCACTCTGTCATGGCAAATCTAAACTCAGGCAATGGGGTCAATAATTGACACATTTGATCAGAGGCTACCCACTTGGAAAGGCAGATTCCTGTCCCCAGCCGGCAGAGTAACCCTCATCAAGGCTACCCTTTCCAATGTCCCCATCTTCTATATGTCCCTCTTCCACATGCCCACTGCTGTTGCATCTCATCTTGAAAGACTCATGGGATAGCGAAACCAAGAAATACCATCTCATTTCTTGGACCATAGTTTGCAAGCCCAAGTCTCAGGGGGGCCTGGCATCCACTCCCTCAAGCTCAATAAACCCGGCCTTATTGGGCAAGTAGTGGTGGCTCTTGGCCACCCAGGAAGGCTACCTGTGGCAAACTGTGCTTCGTCACGAATACCGGCTTATAGCCCTCCATGGCTACCCCATCTCACATCCTACAACTCCAGCTCAGGAGCTTGGAGATCCGTTTTACACTGTCTTTTCCCCTTCAAAGCTAACATTTGTTTCCATGCTAGGGTGGCCAGCAACATAAACTTCTGGTCTGACCTTTGGATCAGCCACACTCCTATTTGCTAGAGATACCAACATCTCGGTTGCAGACTCCTTTCAATCCAATGGAACCTCCTGCCGTCGGAACCCAAATTTCCGTAGACATCTCCTTGAAGGTGGGACTAATGTCTTCCTCCAAGTCCAAGCCCTCTTACACCCTGTATACCTTTCCCTCTATGGACAAGACAAAATTATCTGGTTCCCCACCACAGACGGCTCATTTTCTGTATCCTCCTTGTATTGGAAACACTAATCCTCTTTACTACAACCGCTAATCCCACCCCCTCCATTGCAGCCAAGGCCCGGCAGGCCTTTATTCCTCCTAAAATCCAATTTTTCTGTTGGATCGCCCTTTCCGAAAGGGTCTTAACAGTAGACCAACTTTGTAGAAGGGGTATGATCACCCAAATCGCTGCATCATGTGCATGGCAGATGAGGAAACTAAGCCCTCACCTTTTCATCCATGGGTGCATTGCGAGCATGCTTTGGAAGGATATTCTTTTACTTTTCAACAGGTCTTGCACTACCCCTAGGTCAGTACCCCAACTGTTCGAGTTTGTGAAGTTCCTTCCATGGGCCTCTTTGGGAATCCTACTTTAGAGGGCCTCCGTAGCAGCCACGCTTTGGGCCATCTGGATCGAGCGCAACAATTGCATTTTTCAAGGCTGCTTTTCGCCTATCCACATCCTCAGGGTCAACTTCAAATTGAAGGTCACTTTTGGGCCTCTAATCACAAGTACTTCAAGCATCTCTCAACCTCAGCCTTCCACCTGAATTGGTAGACTCTCCTATCCGTAAGGCCCCTCGACATCCCCACTCATCCTGTTGGAGACCAGAACAGGGAAAGACCAAGCTCAACTTTGATGGCTGCTCGCTTGGCAACGCAGGTCCTGCTGGGATTGGAGGCATTCTCTTCTCTTTTGCCAAATCATCGGTCGAGCTGACTCCACCATGGCAGAAGCTCTCGCTCTCCTAGAAGGGCTCAAACTTTTCAATCCTCCTTGGAGCACCGAAATTATTGTGGAAGGAGACTCTAGAAATGTAATCCTATGGGCCTTAGGGGTGTGGCACCAAGTTGCAGATGCCCTTGCTAGAAAGGCGCAGCATTGACAGGCGAATACTTGCTGTCCACCTTTTTTGGGTTTTCAGCTTCTTGGCTGCCTTTTTGCTGTATGTAATTTTTGGCATCTACCACCTTCTCGGTTGGTTTTGTATAGAGCTACTGGAGTAGTGGGAAGTGTTTTTTTTTTTGGCAAGCTGTACATCTAAACTCTTTAATACAATACAATAGTGAACACGTTAAAGAAAAAAAGAAGAAAAAATTGTGATTCTGAGATGATTTTAATGCTGCATTTCTGGTTTCCCTTTGGTATATGGTAGAAAATTCTTCCTCTACTGAATTATTTAGTGGGATGAGTAGGCCCAAACTGAGAGTTGTATGTTCTTCAATTGATTAGGTATACCATCACCCTTCCTGAGATCCATTAAGTCAAAATCCAATCCTTGGCAGTTGGTGGCATGTGCTTTTCATTGATATGGTTTTTGGTGGTTTGATCAGGTATGCTGTTATTCTATGTCAGGTCAAAGAATATTTGATTTGCTTTTGGGTTTTATTTGTTAGTAATATAAAAATAACATGTATGGACCAGAATCTATCAAATTAAAGGACATGGTTGGCTCTCCTGACTACATATCTCTTGCTTCATCTGTCTAGTTTGTCGACATTTTTCCATTGGGGAAGGAGATTAAAGGAAGCTGAGGCTTCCTTTGCTATGGAGCCTGGAAGAAGACACATGTGAGATTGCCCATCGCTGAATGTACGTAGTCTTCACTCTTGTGATGAGACTGATCCTTTTACAGTTGGTTAGTATTGTTTGGACTGCCAAGTAAAATGTAACAAAATTAGTGTTAGTACACATCCACACAAGGAAAATTGCTGAGTGAAATACAGAGAGACGCACACAAACAACCTCTTAATAAAATGTAATGACATGAATCTTTTAATATATGTCTGCTTTAGCACTTGATTTGGTACTGACTGCCAATGGAGCTCTCTCTCTCTATCTATCTATATATATATATATCTGTGTGGCTATGAGCATAGCCTGGAATGCTGATGCGACGGCCCCTGTTGTCACTAAATGTTATTGTGAGCTTCCCTGAGCACCATATTGAAGGGGAGGCAGTATTCATGATTGAATTTCCTAAAAATTTCAGGTACAAAAGGAATATAGCAAACCATACCGTGTTGGCCACAACATTATGCAAGACAGATTCCGGTGAAATTTGTTAAATGCATCTTTATTCCAGCTCCGCTTTTGTTCTCCTAAATTAACATGTGACGATTCTCTTTATGTTTTATGTTCTCTCTGCCCAGATTTGCATGTTTTTACTTAACAAAAGCAAATTTTACAAAACTAATGCTATCATTAAGAAATGGGATTGTATACTATAAGGCCATTCACTTTGGTACACAGAGGTTACATTTACTCTTAGCCATTGGATGTGAAATTTGACAAATTGGGGTGTATCACAAAGTTGAAGAAATTTTATTTGGGACCTTATGCATAGTCAATGACATATCGCCAGCCACGTTGCACATCAAATGGTCAATATTGAGTATGACCTTGTTACCAAAGTAATGGCCTTAATGTATATTTATCCTTGAGAATAGTCCCTTCCTAAATAGTATGTGAATATACTTAACCATCATTTGATTTGAGACTTCCTATAGGCATTGTTCTAGAGTCCACCATCTTGTGAACTGTTCTATGAGTGTGGCATCAATGTTTGTTATACAAAAAGTATCTAGTACTTGGAAAAGTGTATTGTGCCGTGGGGAGTGTAATTCAACATTAGTTTCCCTAACGCACCAATCATCCATCTTAAAGATGGATGGAAAAAAGTGATACTCCCACTATCGATTAAGGCTAAAGGTAACAATCGTTCTTCAATTTTTTTTATTTTAAAGTTTTACAAATGTATTTGTTTTTACGTATTAACGATCTCTATGTTAGAGATTGTATATTTCTAACTAAAATTCATCTAAAGAACAAATCATGGAGAGAGGATGCACATTTACATATGAGTTAGCAGTCTCATACAAACTGTGTACCCAATACTTTAGCTTAAAAATTGAATATATTGAGACGTGTCTATACAATTAGTATAAAGATGGGGGAGGGAGGACACTATTATAAGGTTTAAATCCCACCCAAAGCCTTCAATTAATATTCTATTATTTTAGGATATTAAAGGTATCCTAAAAGTATGTGTCCACATACGGTGAAAAAAGATCAATATCTGAACGCTTCATCATCATGGTTTTTTTCAATTATTTAGGATAAGCTATATGAATCTTGGTCTGAAATTTTACTCTATCAAGGGTTGCATCTAGATGGCTTCATGAAAGGGGATATGTACACTAAGAGCGATTGAAGTTAATATCATCAAAGGATGAGGTTTGTATAAGGTTGCCTCCTTATACTGTATAAGTAGAAGTAAGGTGCACTTATAAAATTTATTTAAAGATTCGTTTTGGTGTTGAAAGTCATACGATGGCTTCAAAATCTCTTTTTATCTTCAGATATAAAATTTAAAATTTTAAAAATAGTGTTCATCGAGTAGATCAACAAGTACTTGAAAATCTTGAAAATAGACAGTCCGGATAATCTGTTACAAGATATACTATTTTTCGGACTTCAATTTTTTTTTTTTTTTTCACGTCCATTCATCTCAAGGTCGAAATTTTGAGTTGAAGGATTCTCCTATGCCAAAACACTCTCCACTGTAGGTTTGGATTTTTGAGGTGCACCTTACTGCCCCTTATATAAACTTTTTCCACCATCGAGGTGAAGTATACACCATGGTCCATGTTTTGCATGGTGATGTTGGAGTAGAGGAGCGCTCAAAGCTAAGCCAATACGAGGAGTTGGGTTTGTGGTGAAAGATGGGAGTCCAAGGATGGGCAATCTCAACATCCTCTTCATTCCCACACTACCAAAACCTCACTCCCCATTTTCTGAATTCATTCTCAAAAACCCAACCTACTTCTTCTCATCCCATGGTCATGGTTGTTACTCAGCAGCATCATGTCTCAATGAGAGTCATGGTTAGCAAGAGGGACATATTCATGGCCACGACGTTTTTCCCTCTCTTCCCCTCTCCTCTTTCCAGTGCCACACCCACACAACAGCAGAGACAGAAAGACAAAGGATTGACAGAGGGAGAATTGGAGAGGTACACGGATGCGAAGGAGAGGTTCACCTTGCTCAAGCCCTCCTCATGGATCAAGGTCTCTCTTTCTTTCTCTATTTTACTGCAATTTGAAATTCTCTCTCTATTTGTTTGCAATTTGAGATTGGGTCCATAGAAATTGTGTTAGGTGGAGAAGGCAGGAGCTGCTGCTCTCTTCGAAGATCCAGTCGCAAAGGGCGACAACATTGGGGTGGTGGTGAATCCTGTCCGCATAGCTTCTCTTAAAGAATTTGGAAGCCCCCAAGATGTTGCCCTCAAGCTCATCCAAGCTGAAAAAAGAAAGGTATGTTTTGTTTTTTGATATGTATGTAACATTAATGCATGCCAAACAATTTCCCTCTGAATATGCAGAGAGAGAGAGAGAGAGCGACACTCTTTTCCAAGAAATGGGTGGATTGGCCTTTAGAGAGAGAGAGAGAGCACACCATTTTTTTTTGGCCATGAGACATGGTTGGGTTGGGTTCTAGAGAGAAATATTTGGGCTGTGGAGAGCGATAGAGTTGGGTTTGTGTGGCAGGAGAGCACAATGTTTAGGACCGGGCCAAAGAGGCAGAGGCCCAGCTCTGCCATGCTCTATCGGCCGGCCAAGTTGAAAAAGAAAAAGGATAAAGTTTTTATAAGGCCTTAATGAAAATAAAATAAAGTTTTATATCAAATCCTCATCTAAAAAACACTCTGGACAAAAGAAATATCAATGATGGCTCTAAAATTAATTTCCACCACCAGCAATTAATTTTGAAACACAAAGAATGTGTAGTTCTTGTGTATATATGAACACTTGGTTTTAGGGTAAAATAGACTGCCTAGATAATTTGTTACAATATATACTATATTTAGAGTTGAAATCCTAATTTTTTTTCACCACCATAGCCGAGATGATTGATGTATAGGTTTTCCAATACTTGTATAGGTTTTCCCATACTTATTGGGATTTTCCTATCAAACCATTTTTCAATAGAAACTTAAAAAAAAATAAAAAGTCATAAAGAACAAAAGTGCATGTGGAGTTTATCAAACCATTTTTCAATAAAAACTTAAAAAAAAATAAAAAGTTATAAAGAACAAAAGTGCATGTGGAGTTTGGAACACATGTTTGTGGCCCTGGCCCTAATTTTTTAAGACGTGGCTGAACCACCCAGCCCATTGGCACCCATTGATGAGGTTTTTGAGAGAGAAATTTGGGTTGTGGAGAAATGAAAGGGTTGGGTTTGTGTGGCAGGAGAGCACAAAAGATGCACAGTTGATTCGTGTGGGGGAGAGAGAGGGTGATGGGGGTTTGGATGTGTACGAGATGGAATACAAAGTGGACAGCACCAGAGGTGGGTTGAAGAGGATATTATCTGCTGCATTTGTTGCATCAAGAAAGCTCTATCTCCTCAACATTGCCTACTCTGATTCACCTGAAAATCCTCTTGATCCCCTCACCACTTCTCTTTTGGAACAAGTCCTTCAATCCTTTGATTCACTCAATTGAAAAGCATTTTATTCATCGTCATTGTTGTTCTCTTTCCTCTAATTTTATTTGCAATTCTTTTTGTTGAGAAGCTAATGATGGATGACGTTTCCATGGGGCGCAGGCTTTATGAAAACAAAATAAAACCTCACGTCAAATCTTCATCGGACGGCACTTTCACCATTGGAAATCGGCTCTAAAAGTAATTTCCAAACCCCAACAATAAAATTTGAAACTAAAAAAATAGTACAAATCTTGCGGATATGTAAACACTTATTTTTAAAGCGAAATGGAGGGTCTAAATGATTTGTTGCAATATTTACTATTTTTATAATTTGAAATCCTAATGTTTTTGCACGACCATAATGTTTATATGAGATGATCGATTTAAAGGTTTTTTGATGAGTTATGAGGGAAGGCTTTACTTATTTTGATAGGGCTGCAGTTCTATCAAACTATTTTCCATTTAAGTATATGAATTGAGATGTCAAGACTGGTTAGCTTAGGGATGTGGTTTGTATAACAGCTGAGGACAATCAAAGTGAGGCTCACCCTTAAATAGTATCAATAGATGTTGTTTCTATACTAGAAATCTTTGTGAGGGGCTGAATTTTTTTTTTTATACCTACATAGTGTAGATCAAGTGGATCAATGAATACTTGAAATCTTGAAAATTGACGGTCCAAAGATGCACTATTTTCAAGATTTGGAATTCATTTTTCTCATGTGCATACATCTTGAGGTTCAGATGATCGATTTGAGACAGATTTTAGACAAGAAATTTGGGACTTGTTGATCTCAATTATCCAAAATCTATTCCTTTTCTAGATTCGTTATTGAGGATTAATTTGGAAGTTTTCAGCCTCGACCCGCCAAGATATTTCCCCATTTTCAACAACCGTAAATGCATCAGAATTTGAAGGACCAATGCAGATTACAGAGCACATTTCGCTCTAAAGTGACTTCCTGATGTAAGAAATTAACCGTCCTAAACAAGGATAGGATTTCTTTTGGCTTGCATAAAGAATTGTTGAATGGATATCCTAATTTTAGAATAAAGGATACTGGAGTTTAGGGGTGGCAATTGGGACTCGGAACTGAAAATATAATATGGGACCTGGATCCAGATTTAGATCCAAACTCGAAAAATATTACGGGATTGGGACCTGGAACTGAAAACATAATGTCGGACCTGGATTTGGGTCTGGACCCGGGCCCAACCAAACCCAATCGGACTCGACCCAAAAATTAAAAAATTTATAAACTTAAATATATAATTATATTTCATAAATAGGAACCTAAAAATATAATATGGGTCAATGATCAGGACCTGGACCTAAATAGTATACAGGTCCTATTTTTAGACCATACCCATACTTGAGTCTACACATCCGGTACCGGATCAGGTCCGGGTCTATTGCCACTCCTATACTAGTGTTGTGCGACACAGAAGGATTTTGGATCCAATGATTAATAATATAGAATTATAACTAATAAAGAGAAGGGGCTCTAGTCAGACGTGGTCAAGGTGGCAGGCGTCCAATATGACACCTAAAATTACATTATCAAGTCTCAAGTTAATCATATAAAAATAGTAAAAAAAATAAAAAATCAATAAATAATAAGGGCTTTGTTGTCCAGGATTAAAAAAGAAATCAGTATTTTAAAATTTGGATTGATGGGGTTGATTGATGGGGTTGGTCATTTATTACGGATCCATAGATTGGCCATCCAGATTGGGTTTGAACCAGTCTAAATTGGAGATAAAAAAATGTTAAAAAAGAAAAACAAAAAGAAAAAACAAGAAGAGATTCATGGAGTGATGGTTTAAGGGATCTAATAAAACATTTAAAAAGCTTGAAAAAGAAAAAAAAATATAAGAAAAAAGGCTTAGGGAGAATTGGGACAGGAATCGAACCGATTCCCATCTAAATTGACTAGTGATTTAAAGAACATCGGGTCGTCGGCATGGAATTGCCCGGTCCGACCTTGGTCATTCTGTTCCGATTCTACATATGTATAGGAAAATGGCCGAGTCTAGAAGAGCGTTTTACACAGTAAAATGATGATTCTCTACAGTAAAATGGCGATCCGAACCGGTTTTAAGTTGGTTCACTGTTTTTTCACGTATTTTTTCACCAGTTCACTATTTTTATGCATATAATAAAACAACGACCTTGACCGATTTTTGGGGTGCCTGATCCGGGTGACCGATTCATTTTTTAAATCATGGAAATCGATAATAAAGATTGAAAATCACCTTGTTTTAGACAAGAAAAATTGTTCCATGCATCAGGGGACACATTTCTATATTTGCCTCCCCTAAGTATAAAGCATCCATTTTAAGGATGGATGTCAATAGGTGATCGATCTAAAAGCAAATTGGTAGTCGATCTAAAGACAGTTAAAACTAACAATTCAAATGATTTCTTTATAAAATTATTATTTTTAATTTTAAAATTTTATTTATTTATTTTATAATCAGGATCTCCATGTTAGAGATTACAAAATTGAGTAAAAAAATCCATCTCAAAATTATATTTTTAAGAGGGGACTCATTTCTACATGGACTCGTACAAACCTTATCCAGACAGATAAACTGCAAAAGTCTCACAGGGTCTAGAACTAGGAAGGACCAATGAAGCTGCTTTGTGATTTGATTTTGATTTCTACCTAATCATCCAATCCCTGAATTCCAAATAGCCTGCGCACTTACTGCTTGACCGCCTGCCATGAATTATCTTACTTGACTCTCTCTCTCTCTCTACATCTCTCTCTCTACCCCTCTCTCTAACACATTCTCTCTACCCCTCTCTCTCTAACACTCTCTCTACAAATCCTAAGATTTCACTGGTTGTCTCGTTATAGATAGTGATCATAGTTCTCCGAGCAGCCCAAGGAATTATGGTTTCAAAATTAGAGCCCACTTTCAAGTGTCATGGTTATAATATTGAAAATCTTTGTGCTAGCTTTAAAATGTATTTTTATTTTTTGTTATAAAATTTAAAGCTTAAAGATAGTGTAGATCGAACATATCTATGAAAACTTGAAAATTAACGGTCTAAAAATACTTTATAAGATGCACTATTTCTAAAACCTAAAATCCATTTTTTTTCTCATATCCATACATCTTGATGTCAAGATGATCAATTTAAGGATATTTGAGCATCAAAACAAACTCTTCTAATGAAATTTTTGAGGTGGGCTCTAATTTGATTGTTTAGAGCTTCAGCTCCATATAAACTTTTTTTATATATATGTATAATTTTTTTTTCCACCTTTCATTTTGACATGTAGTAGAAGCACCATTTTTGGATGTCCATCTCTAAGATGGAGGCCTAATGCATGATGAGGGGTGTTGTTTGTCTGCAGTGGCGCAGCTCCAAGAAATTTGTCGGCCAGCCCCAAAAATCCCCACTACAAAACTTTGTAGGTGTTTGTTAACATATTTTGAGGCCTTGTGGAATTTGAAGCCCAATTGCTTAAATTTAGTTTTGGAGAATTTGTTATGACTTGAAAAATGGACGGTCCAAAAAAATGTGTTGTGCTGAGAGAAAACTATTTTGAGGGCACAAATCTATTTCTTTTCTAGATTCAGTATTGAGCATTGTTTTTGGAAGTTTTCAGCCTCGGTCCTCGAAGATACTTCTCCATGTTCAACATCCGTAAATTTTTTTTTTTTGGATAATTCAATGGAGAATACAGTTCCCTACCCGTTTTACAGTTATTTTTATTTTTTGATTTTTTTGGAGAAGATACTTCTTCATGTTCAACATCCACAACTATTTTTTTTGGGTAATTCAGTGGATTTTTTTTTTTTTTTTGGGGAAGATACTTCTCCATGTTCAACATCCGCAACTATTTTTTTTGGGTAATTCAGTGGAGAATACAGGTCCCTACCCATTTTAAGGCTACTTTTTTATTTATTTTTTTAGGTATTTCAGTGGAAAATACATGCCCCTATCCATTTTTAATTAATTAGTAGTTTTTGAAGATGTCAGTGAGAATGAAAGCCATAATTTTAAATTAAAATATAGGGTGGTAAAAGGTGTGCTACCGCCGCAACCTCAGCCCCTTTCCTGCAGTTACCTTTTCTTACCGTAGGCTAATGCATCATAATTTGAAAGAGTAAATGCAGATTACATACCTTTTCTTACCGTAGGCTAATGCATCATAATTTGAAAGAGTAAATGCAGATTACATAGCACATTTCGCTCTAGGGTGACTTCCTGATGTAAGAAATTAACCGTCCTAAACAAAGACAGGATCTTTCGGCATGCATACATAATTGTTGAAGGAAAATTCTAATTTTAGAGTAAAGAGTACTGAACTAGGGGAGGCAACGGGTCGTGTTGGGTCCGGGCCCTCCGTACTTGGTCTCGAACGAAAAAATATTAAGGGATTAGGACTTTGAACTCAAAAAATAATGTGGGACCCAGACTTAGACCCAACCCAAAAATTGAGATTTCTATGTATTTAAATATATAAATATATATCATAAATTGAGACTTAAAAATATAATATGAAATCTGTACTCATACTCGAATAGTATTTGAGTTCAATATTTAAACCAGAGCCCAAGTCCAATTTTTAGACCTATACTCAGACTGTGTCGGATCTCTCCGTCAATTATTGGGTCCGGTCCAGGTCGATCGCCACGCCTAGGGTAGCGGGACACATGATAAGAAGGATTATGGATCCAATGACTAATACTATAACATTATAACTACTAAAGAGAAGGGGCTCTAGTCAGATGTGGTCAAGGTGGCAGGCGCCTAATATGACACCTAAAATTCCATTATCAAGTCCCTCGTTAATCATACAAAAATTAATAAATAATAAAAAAAGCAATAAATAACAAGAGCTTTGTGGTACAGGATAGATACCAGAAGAAAACCAGTAAAATATTAAAAGAAGCTTTGTGGGTATGCGTTGATTCAAAAAAAAGGTGCGGTCTGTATAGAGCCCAGGCTCTAAACAATTAAATTAGAGCCTACCTTTAAGTATTATTGGAAAACATGGTTTCAATACTGAAAATTTTTGTGATAGCCTTAAAATATATTTTGATTTTTATTTATATTAAAATATATTTTGATCTTTATTTATAAAGTTCAAAGCTTCGAAAATGATGTAGATCAACAGATATGTGAGAACTTAAAAATCTTAAAAATTGACGGTAAAAAAATGCATTATTCCTAAAAACTTGAAATCAATTTTTTTCTCATGTCCATGCATCTTGATGTCGAGATGATCAATTTAAGGATTTTTGGGCATCAAAACAATCCCATCTAGTGAAATTTTTGAGGTAGGCTCGAATGTGATTGGTTAGAGCCTCGGCTCTATATGAACTTTTCCCTTTAAAAAAAAGATAATAGTATTTTAAAACTTGGATCGACGGGCGGTTCATCCACCTACATATTCAGATCACTAGATCGGCCATTCAGATTGGGTCGGGACCGGTCTGAATTGATGATACAAAAATGTTAAAAATAAACAAAGCAAAAAAATAAAAATAAATAAAGGTTCGTGGAGTAGGGATGCAAGAGATCTAATAAAATATTAAAAAAGCTTGAAAAAAAAACATATGAAAAAAAAGTCTAGGGAAAATTGAGACAAGAACTAAACTGATTCCCATATAACAATGATTTAAAAAGCGCCGGGTGGTCTAACCTAGGAATCGGTTACCCCATTTCGGTTTTGCGTATATATAAAAAAACGGCTTAATCTAAAAGAGAACTGTCCGTTTTGTACAGTAAAACAATGATCTAGACTAGTTTTTAGCCAATTCACTATTTATTCATATATTTTTTCACCAATTCACTATTTTTATTCATAGTAAACCAACGATCCAGACCGAATTTTGGGGTGCCTAATCCGGGTGACCAATCCATTTTTTTAAATTATTGAAATCGACAATAAAGACTGAAAATCACCCGATTTTAAACAAGAAAAGTTGTTCCATGCATAGGGGGACGCATTTCTATATTTGCGTCCCCATGGATATAAAGCTTCCGTATTAAAGATAGATGCAAATCGGTAGTCCGTCTAAAAGCAGTTAAAACTACTGGTCCAAATGATTTCTTCATAAAATTAATATTATTATTAGAGATATGTGTGACTTGACTTTTTTAGAGGTTAAGTTATCATATGAGTGTGTGACATGATTTTTTAGAGATCTGTGTTAAATTTAATGATGATTCTTTAAGATCCTACATAAATAATAAATGTGGGATGGTCTCACAATGTCGTTTCCCTTATTTATTATTATTAGGTAAGTAAAAATTATTATTTTTAATATTTAATTATTATTTATTTTTTCATATTCATAAACTCCATGTTAAAAAAAAACCATCTCAAAAATATATTTTTAAGAAGGGACTCATTTATCCATGGACACATAGAAACCTTAATTCTCTAAAGGGGCAAAAGTATCACGCATTGCACATGGTCGTCCAGTAACTAGGAAGGACCCATGAAGCTGCTTTTTGTTAACGACTTTATGAATTTGAGTTCTACCAAACCGACCAATCCCTTAAGCCCAAATAGCCTGCGCCTTGCTTCTTGACCGCCCGCCATGAACTTTCTCTCTCTCTACAAATCCCAAGATTTTGATGCTTCACTGAGCTGCCCCGGCAAAGAAAATGGAGAAGCCTGCACCCTTCTCTCTCCTCCTACTCCTCCTCTCTCTAACTCCTCCATCTACTTCTCAGTCACAGTCCCCCTCTTCTTGCCCCATCGATCTCAATTATGTTTCTACAATCCCATGGCAGCGCTCCTCCTGCATTGGAGACCCCAGCAAGAGCGACCATTGCTGTCAAACGCTGCTCAGTCTTTTCGGAATCGGCCTCGCCCAACACCTCCGAGACACCTCGCTCTTCCAGCTCTCCCATCCCTCGGCCGCCACCTCCTGTCTTGCCTCTCTCCAGCAGAGGCTCGTCTCCCTCGGTCTCTCCTCCTCTTTGATTCCCCTCTGCCTCAACAACTCTGCCGAGTTTGTCATCGACTCCTCCAATTGCGTTGGCATAAGGACCAAGGATGACTGGCGACGCAGGCTGGGCAACACCTCGGTCGATGACGCCTGCAGTGGGGACCTCTCGGACCTCACGTCCTGCAACTCATGCGTGCAGAGCGGGTTCAACGTGACGTCTCAGCTGTTGAGCATGGACCGCAACAGTGCTAATGCCACCAACCGCACCAACGAGTGCTTCAACTTCACCGTGTTGTATGCTGCTGGCGTGGCCAATGCGAGGGGGCCGGAGGATCTCGGCACAGCATCCTGCGTGCTGGGGTTGCCCCTCACCAAGAGGAGCAAATCGAACCAACAGAGGCAGCTGTCGCTGCTGTCTGCGCTCTGCGGTGTCATCTCAGGGGTGGTGTTCATGACTTTGTTAGGGGGTTTCTATTTGTGGTGGGAGAGGAAGAGGCAGAGGAAGCAGAAATCATCAGTTGAGGACGGTAGTTGGGAAGGAGGGGACACGAGGGCTCGAGTGAGGCCGAATACTGGGGCGACCTGGTTCGACATTCGGGAGCTGAAGAAGGCCACAGGGGGCTTCTCCCAGAGGACCATGATCGGTCAGGGCGGGTTCGGGATTGTGTACAAGGGGACCCTCCCCGACGGGACCTTTGTTGCAGTAAAGAAAATGGTGACACAGGGGCTGGATTTGCAGGGCGATGACTTCTCGAACGAGGTCAATATCATCTCCAGCATCAGGCATCGCAACCTGCTTCCCCTTCGGGGATGCTGCATAGCCAGAGATGACGAAGGTGAAGAACAGAGGTTCCTCATATACGACTACATGTCTAATGGAAGTGTCGATGAGTGGGTGTTCGGGACGAAGGAGGGGAAGAGGCTGAGCTGGGCGCAGAGGAGGGGGATTGTGGTCGGGGTGGCAAAGGGACTGGCCTACCTCCACAACGGGGTGAGGCCGGCCATCTACCATCGCGACGTGAAGGCCACAAACATCCTGCTGGACACACACATGAACGCGAGGGTGGCCGACTTCGGCCTTGCAAAGCAGAACAGAGAGGGCCAGTCGCACCTCACCACCCGTGTGGCCGGTACCCATGGGTATCTGGCACCCGAATACGCTCTCTACGGGCAGCTAACAGAGAAGAGCGATGTGTACAGCTTCGGGGTGGTGTTGCTCGAGATCATGAGCGGGAGGAGGGCTCTCGACGCAAGCGAGGGCTCCGAGGCGTTTCTGGTGTGCGACTGGGCGTGGGGGCTGGCGAAGGCGGGGAAAGTGAGGGAGGTGATAGAGAAGGGGATAAGGGAGGAGGGGCCGATGGAGGTGATGGAGAGGTTTGTGATGGTGGGGATTCTGTGTTCTCATGTGATGGTGGCATTCAGGCCGAGTATGGGGGAGGCGCTGGGGATGTTGGAGGGAGACTTCGAGGTTCCAGAGATTCCAGACAGGCCTCTGCCCCTAGGCCATGAATCCTTTCAGTGGGGTTCACCTTGTACAGTTGCAAGTAATGGTGATGGCAGTGGCCATCGAAGAAGCATGACTACCAGAGCTATAGCAGGAGCCATTGCTCGAGCCACCTTATCACATTACTAGTGGCCATGGGAATTTTCTTTTTTTTTTATCTATTCAACATTCATTTGATACTGATTATCATTGTATTTTGATACAAAAACTTTTGTAAGTAATGAAATGTTTTGTCATCAACTCATCATTGAAATGGGTAAGAAATATGTTTGTAGAAGAAGATTAGAAGAAGACAATGATATTTTCATCAATTGTTTGAAACAATCAATGCTGGATGTAGGTGATGTCCTGCCATTGGGATAATGCTAAGTTCCATACAACTGATATTATTCCCACAATAGTTCATAAATACTTTTATTTCTGCTAAAATTTCTACTTATAGCTGGGCGTACAGTTTGTATAAGGTTGCAACCTTAATAAGGCGCACCTCCAAACTTAAACATAAGATGCAATTTTGGTGTTGAAAATTCTTAAGATGCTGCAAGAATCTATTTTTATATTTAATTATAAAATTTGGAACTTTAACAATGGATCAAATTAAATAGATCTATAAATACATGCAAATATTAAAAATAGACAGTCCATATAATGTGTTGCAAGATACACTATATTTGGAATTTGAAATCTTTTTTTCTCCATATCCATACATCTCGATGAAAACCAATTTGGTTTTATGGCAGGAAGGTCAACAACTGAGGTTATTTTCCTATTTAGGCAACTGTTTGAGAAGTTTAGGGCGAAGGAAAAAGACCTCCACATGGTTTTTATTGATCTAGAGAAAACTTATGATGGAGTACCTCGAGATTTGATTTGGCGGACGCTGGAAAAGAAAGACATCTCTAGACAGTACATCGACTTGGTGAGAGATATGTATGATGGAGTGGTAACTAGTGTAAGAGCAACTAGTGGAAAAATGATTGAGTTTTTCAGTAACAATAAGTCTACATCAAGGGTCAGCATTGAGCCTGTACCTCTTTGTTTTAGTTATGGATGACTTAAATAGGCATCTACAGGATGGGGTACCGTGGTGCATGGTATTCTTAGATGACATAGTTTTGATTGACGAGACCCGAAATGACGTCTACACAAAGTTAGAACTTTGGAGGGCTGCTCTAGAATGCAAAGGTTTTAAAATTAGTCAGATTAAAATAGAGTATATGGAATGCAAGTTTAGTAATAATAGGAGTAGAGGCGAGAAAGTAGTTAAGATTGATGGCCAGGAAGTACAAAAAGACCACACTTTTGATATCTTGGGTTGATAATATTGGAAATGGAGAGATCGAAAAAGATGTCTCACACAGAATTAGAGCTGGGTGGGTGAAGTGAAGACGTGCAACTGCAATTTTATGTGATCACCGCATACCAATAAGGCTGAAGGCACAGCGGTGACACCAATTTTGCTCCATGGGGTGGAATGTTGGATAACAAAAAATGATATACCCATAGAATGAGTGCAGCAGAGATGAAGATGTTGAGATGGATGAGTGGCAAGACAAGAAGGGATAGAATTTGAAATGTATCTATTTGAGAGAATTTCGCAGTAGCACCAATAAGCGATAAAATGAGATAACGTAGACTAAGGTGGGCTGGCCATATGTAGCGCCGACCAAGTACAACACCTGTTAGGACGAGCGAGTTAGTTCAAGTGGAAGAATTGACAAGGGAAAGCGCTAGTCCCAAAAGAACGTGATTGGAAGTAGTTAGAAAAGATATGGAGACTTGTAGCCTCACTGAGAATATTGTCTTTAATAGAGCAGAATGGAGAACTAGGATTAATGTAGCAAAACACAATTAATTGGAAAAAGCTAAAATGTTGAATGAATGAATGAATCCATACATCTCGATGTCGAGATGATCAATTAGATATTTTTCTAACATCAAAACAACCTTTTTTGAAAAACAAATTGAGGTACACCTTAATTATACATTTTAAGGTATCAACCCCATATAAACTCGAGAAAGGGGCTGGGGTCGTGGGGTAACATCCCCACACCCTAGTCACCGTATTGTGGTTTCCATTCCCACCACTAACACCACCCATTAACGCCTTAAAAAAAGCTAACTCCTAATCTACTTGAAACAATGAGTAGAGGCATGTCTTCCTCATTGAATAAACCAAACAAAAGACAAACCTCAATAAACTTTTTCTTACTTGAAATACTCTTAGAAAAAAAATTACTATATTGAAGAGTAAATGATTATATAAGGGTGAGGCTCCTAACAATCAAATTAAGGCGCACATCAAAAATTAACTAGAAGAGGTTGTTTTGATGCTAAAAAATTCTCAAAATCGATCATCTTGACCTCAAGATATATGAACATGAGAAGAAATGGATTTTGAGTCTGGTGCATCTCGCAATTTTTTTGGACCATCAATTTTCAAGTGTTTATAGATTTGCTCGATCTACACTATTTTTGACGCCTTAAATTTTATAATTAGATATGAAAATAAAATTTCAAGCCATCCCAAAGATTTCTTGTACTGAAAGAACATCTTTCGACACTATCTGAATGTGCGCCTTACTTTCATTGTTTAGTGCCTCAACCTTATACAAACCACACCCTATAT